GTGTAAGCCATGTCAAGCACGTGCTGTAGGGTTTTATTCATTACACTCTAACCCCTCTGTACCCGGCCTGGGGATTGAACCCTGGACCTCCTGGTTCTGAATTGAACAGCATACCACTGCACCACAGGATCGGTGAATTTCCTAAATATACTAAATCTATATAGTAAAATCTCAATTCATGCATAACTCTGGTTACCTAGCCTCGTACCGTATTCTTGTTTGGGTGTGTGGTCACATCATGCACATCTCGTGTGACACACACACCCCTGTTATTAGGGTTCATGTAACCCCGTTACAATATCGTTGAATTGTCCAGGAATTTTATCGCGCAACGTATGCTTTAAGCTTTGCATCTAACACACCCCGTGTGTCCAAGATGGCAGTATCACATTATATTTGACACAACAATTGGTGAATATTAAGTACAACCAAAGCGGCGCCAGAAAGCAATTTCTATTCGCGTATGGGAGTTATAGGAAGCCGTTTAACACACTTCTTTCTATTTCTATTTGCTAATGTGATACAAATCTCAAGAATATCTTTAGAGATATTTTAACTGTCATTCTTTTTATGAGCAAAATATACTAAAGAATTGATCAAAAATGTTCTCACAAAAAGACACAAAAAACTCAGTACCTTTCTGCATGTTGAAGTCACCATATCGCTATTAAAGCAATAGCGCCCACATGTTGCGCCGGGCGATTCAGCGTGCGCGGCTGCATCTACCGGCGCCCATTGGGCATAACAATGGAGGAGGAGCGTCATCAAGTGATGAAGAAGATTCTCCCCCCACCTTTAGCGTCTCATACACTTCATTACGAGACGATGAGTCTGATCGCGACTTTTTTCGGAAGGACCAAGAAGTTACTCGTGTACATTTTAATATTGCGGAGGATATTGTTAAGGAAAGGAAAAGGAGCATAGCAGAATTGTCAGCGGACGAGCAGAGACGTGCTGCGGATGCGTGGGCACGGCTACAAACGCTTTATGGCTTGTTTCGGGAGCTTGCAGCCACCGGAGACGAAGACTTAGATGTTAGTGACTCTGAAAGTGTGGATGCTGAACAAAGGGAGCATCATGAGCATACGGAGACACGGCAACGACGCAGACATGACAATGGTTTGCAGTCGCTACTACAACACGTTGAATTACCCCCTGGTGTGATAATGCGGGACTTGCAGACGCTGATAACGACGAAAGGCAGTGACGAAAATGTCATGCCTCAGGGATTTACTGCCGACATGTTTGAAAAATTGGGTAATGTGATGTATAATGAAATGCTAGTCACAGCGGATCAGAATCGTATTAGCTCTGACACGTTTGAAGAACTTGGGAACTTTTTGTATGCAGAAACTGCGAGCGTGATCGTGTCAGCGACTGCTTAGGTCGGTTCTTATCAACGTCAATTCTTAATACTAATACTGCATTGTGAGCTCTATATTATTGCAGTATAGCAAACACATTCTTATTTTGTATATCACTTTGATGTCATTAACTCACGCCACTTTGTAAGAGCCTTAATTCCGTCACGTTCGACCGTATTAGCAGCATGAAAATCGACGACTTCTCCATCAGAGCGAATGACAATAAGTGTGGGGATCCCACCACAGCGAGATATTGGAATCAAATCATTTTCCTCAGCTTTAGCACAGACACCAAAAAAGCGCTTAAGTCGCGTACGCGTATCCCCTTCAAATGGTACCATCCACCAAGGACCTTGTTTATCTTTTAAGTGAATGAACTGGTCTTCAGCCGTGGCGTCTGAACCTACAAATACAATATCCAAATTATCGCCTGCTGCGTCGTAAAACTTGTTAAGCTTCGGTTGAAACGCGCGGCAATCTGGACACCAATCAGCTGCAAAGTAGAGAGCCAGCAATTTGTCATTCTGACCTAGTGCCTCACCCTGTACAATCTCGCCATTCGCATTCGTTAGTGTGACACCTTGGAGTAGCAACATGCCGACAAAGTCAATAGAGATAGTAGTATAAAGGAAGTACTATTTCATAAATTTTTAAATACCGATATTTTCTGGTTTAGTGACGTCATACTTTTTATCACAACAGTTTGCACAACACATGTGCAACAACGAACGCGACATAAACCTTCTTAGACCTATCCCTGAACTATTTTAGTTACCATAAATCGAATGTTAGAAGTACAATATTTTTCGTCAACCCTTTAAATAACATGACAATACAATCGATACTTCCATTCTTAATCATACAAACGTCATAGCTTAAGCATCTTTGTCTCTCTCAATTTAGCGGATAGGTCTTCCTTCATCCGGTGCTTAAGACCTTATCGGACATCCGTTTTTTTGCAACCCTAAATATAGCACTATCTTCCTGTTAATTGGTATAAATTTCATCTTCTTGATTCTAATTGGTTTAAACAAGATAGTCGCACCATCTGAGTCAGTTGCCCGTCCCAGTCATCGAAGTCTCGCCGACGACGCAGCACCAAAAGACACTCGCTCCAGTGAGCGTAAGGCGAGTGTCGCGGATAGTAAAGAGCAATATACTATCAATTATACTCCATTGATTGTGTGGTAAGCATTTCATCATTGAAAAATTGTACTTAAACACAGGTAAAGGCCACTTTATGAAGATTCGAACTTGTTTCTCTATTCTTACTTGAAAATGTCTTTGTGTATATCAATTCTAGTCTTCGTCTTTAAAAAACATGATGAATGAAAGAAGACGTAAACTTCAAACTGTCCAAGTGGATCATTACGATGGTCAAGCTATTTACAGTGGAAATGATCTCATCTATGAACTTGGAGGATACCTTGGAGGTGGTGCTGCTGGCGTGTACGTTGCTTTGAATTTCATGTTTATCTTTTGAATTATTGATAAGTGTTTTTGTAGAGTTTATGAAGCATTTTCAACCCGTACGAAGCAACATGTTGCGATCAAAATTCTTAATCCTGTCGGCTACAAACTCTTTCCTACCTCGTTAGTAACACGATGTATCGTTGCTATTAAAGGTAAACCACGTATATCAGTACCAGATGATACGATACGACGAGAGTATGATGATCCACGATACTCTCGACATGTAAATGCTGGTTTAAGTTATCGAGTACGATCCCCTTCTGGATCTTTACGACTAAAATTTGAGAAAATCTGTCCTGAAAATGTTTGGTGGTTGATTCATCCAACGTCTAAGCAGGCAATTCCTGCGTTGGAAGACCCATATACTGGCCAAGTTCGCGAATTGACATTACCACAATGTATTGAAGTATGGGGGGAGCAATTAAACGACGTGGAAAGTATTTTAGGTCGACAAGAGTTGGACAGTGCTGAATTTTATCAGGAAGTTTACGTGAAGAATCAAAAGATCAAAGTGCCACGAATTCCTAAGAAATTTATCAAATTTGCAACGACTCGACGAATAATTCATCGCGAAATTTCAAACATGTCGGGACTTGAGTATCATAAAAATGTGCTGCGGTTGGACGAAGCTTTGGAATTGGTTCAAGATAGCAAATGTACCACGTTTCTAGTTCTTGAGCTAGCAGGAGGTGGTGAGCTTTTTGATCGGATTAAATTAGATTGTGGTACCAATGAAGACACAGCGCGTGTGTACTTTAATCAGCTCATTTCGGGTGTAGCCTTTTGTCATAATTCGGGCGTTTGTCATCGTGATCTTAAGCCTGAGAATTTGCTTCTTGCTGATACAGAAGAACATTCGACACTGAAGATTGCTGACTTTGGATTATCAGCTATTTTTGCTTTTACTGAGAACGATCCAAGTGGTGAAGTGAATGGAAATGATGCTGATCAACCAGCGATTCGAAGATTACGTTCTGTTGTGGGTTCTCCTCACTATGTTGCTCCTGAAGTTCTTATGGATGCTGGTCAAGGATATGATGGTGCAAAAGCTGATGCGTGGTCAATTGGTATTATCTTGTACGCAATGATTGCAGGAAATTTACCCTTTGGAAAAAATTTACTTAAGTGCGTACGCTACGATCGGTTTCGAAAGTGGTCGTACAACACTAAATACAGTGATGACGATCCTACTTATGAAGTAGAATTTCCAACGTGGTTCTTCCCTGCGCATTTCTCAACGGAATTAAAGTCTTTGATAGCTCAATTATTGTATCCAGATGCTTGTTTGCGTCTTTCAGTTGATGAAGCACAGCATCATGTATGGGTTCGAGGAGGGAAATTACAAAAACCCGGGTTGTCTATGATAGAAGACAATGAAGAACTAAGCAATGGTACAGCGCTTAGTACATCAACACCTCATTTACCCCACTCAAATCGGATCAATGTCTCAATTTCTACTCTTCATGACGGTATTGATCTTGGACAACACATGCATCCTAGCCAATTGGGTTCTGTTTCTCCTGAAGCGATCACACGACTACTTGCAAAAGCTCCTAGTCCTCATGGACACGCATGTCGATGTCCACCGTCGCCTCAGCCAAATCTTCGTGTGAATAAGCATTTGACAGGTGTCATTGGCTATATGCCTTCAGTGGATGAAACATCGTCTATGGTGGATCAAACACCAATTAATTCGCCTCGTGAAGCAAAGAACAATGACATGTTTGAGTTGACTATCGAAACAGAGACAACCTTGTCGAATAAATTGCTCAATGAATGCAATGTCGCTGAAAACAAGAGGAACGATGCACTTTATCAAGAAGCGACAATCGCGCTTTCATGCGGCATCTCTGGAAATCGAAGTGCTGAAACAAGTAGAGCAAAACGTAATGAGATGGTATCACCAATCGGTACTGCTTCAAAACAACTTCGATTTGTGTCACCTCCGCTTGTAAGTGGTTCTCGAGATAGTATCCCCATTCATTACCGTCGCAACTCACCTCCGGAGTTATACTTACGTGGATTTGCTCGTGGGCACTTGCAAGATCTGACAAATAAAGAGATTGGCGGCAACAATGGCATTTATGATGGTATTAACATTCTTGGACGATCACCACCACTATTTCCTCAATCGATTTTGACTAGTGGTATTTCTTCTAAAGTGCCAGAGTGCACAGTGGAAAGTGGTTCTGTGGGCCAGAGTAAATGCGTTGAAGAAGATCAACCGAGCTCAATTACTCCTCCATCATACAGTGATGTTGTAGCACGCTCCACACGCTTTCTCACAGCGCTTCCAGCTCGATTAGCGCTTTCAAAAATTGAAAATGCTCTTAAAAGCACACCATGTCCACTTCCATATGAGTACTCAAAAGTACCACAAATGGTGTCAATTGACTGGGAGACGTATCAGCTTGAGATAAGATACGCGGGACTTCTCACGTGTACAGTACAAGTCTTTTTGTTTCAGCGAGGTGTGTATCTTGTCGAATTTCGACGTGGTCATGTAAGTACATTTATTGCAATAATGTATTTTAATGGAGGTATATTGACAAATTCTTCATCATATATTAGGTGGATATCTTCCAATTTAAACGCTTTTACGAAAACATTCATGCCCAAATCTTGGAAGGTCTGGATCGAAATTCCGAGCGACCTTTGCCAGGATTTCGCAAACGCAATAAATCGATTTCGGACTCGTGTTGAAAGATAAAGCACGAAGTTTATCATCTAAAAAAATCAAGCAAAGGGATAGTGTTTCATCTTACGTCCCAAGCATTGGAAGCTTAATCACTAAAGCTGCTCCACACCAAGCATCATTGTTTTCTCTTTCCAGTTGAAAATCCGTCACGTTTGATAGGACGGATGGTTTCATTATTTTACGTAGATCCTGCTACATTACAAAAATTATCAAGCATTGTTATTATTGTGTTCTGTCGAAGTGGCTGTATTGTTGATATATATACTACTTCTTCTTCAATTGTCTGTGTACTTGAGATGCTTTATGTCGATTCTTGAGGGATTGAAGATAAGGTGCTGTATGTATCGACGGTGTCTTGCTAAAAGCAACGACATCCACTACACTTTCGGATTTCGCGGATTCAATATACAATGGCACAGGCTTCTTTTTCTTTAACCGAATTCGAGAAAGAGACGCATTGTTTAAATATAGTCCCCATGGTTTGCTGTTTATTGAAAGAGAGACAGCAGTTGTGTGTGCAGGTTCATGTTTATCACGAGGACGAGAACATTTTAATGGATTGATGTGTTCTCGTAGCTCATCCAAGAACTTTCCTCTTCCATTATTGACAACTTTGTTTGGTTTAATTAGTGGCAGATGCAGTCGTTTGCTGTCGTCCTTGCGACGCGGTAAGTCAAAGTCAGGAGGTTTGAGCTCATTATTTGCAATCAATGTGATGTCAAGAGGCTCAATACTTTGATCAGAATCGATGTCTGTTTTCACGTTCATCTCAACATTTCGTAGTATTTCAAGCTGCATTTTATCCATTTCCAGGTTTCCAATTCGATATTCCATCAACAAAACCTCACGGACCAATTTATGACGTTCGAGCAACGGACTTTGTTCAATCTGTCGACGAAAATCTTCTAAAGCTCGTTCGTTTCTCGCCAATTGCTGCCTTAAAGTCTCTTCCCCTAGATCAATTTTCTTGTTGCTAGATTTCGTTTCTACTGCTTTCAGTATCGAAGACGAAGTTGGCGACATTGTTGTGCTATCATTCAACAATATTTTCGTATTCTCTTGAACTTGAGATTCATTGTTCATTAAACTAGCATTGCAATGCCGAATCTAATATAACACAACGTCTTGTTAAATTCCGCAATAATTCAAAGATTACAATACTTCCCACACACCTGATGCTCTGATCTCAACAGAGCTAAGCGCAATATTCGACGTTGCTGAAAAGATTCTGTAATATATTGGCGAGCTTCACACAGTTTCGTTCTGACCAAAGTCTCTTCTATAGTATTATCGAAATGCACATCAGTCGATTTTTTGTTTTGAGTCCAGCGTAACATTGATTTGACTGGCGAATTGCGACTGATGTCCACTTGTTCTTGTCGAGAAAGCGCATGTTTCAACGTAGCGATCTCGCCTCGAAGTGAAGCCACGATCTGGGCTTGATTGGAAGTAGGATCACTTTCGACAATATTTCGTTTAAGTGTTGTTTTGATATTTTTGGCTCGGTTGGCATACTTGAGCGTATTCAGCGTTTCTTCTACACTCGACACTGTTAGACTTACGTTGGCAATCATAACCGTCCGACAATTGCCACCAAGTGAGTCTTTCAACAATCTCGTGAGCTTACTGTCTCGATACGGTACAAACGATCCCCCCTTTTCACCCAGCGCATTTATACAATTTCCCAATGCTAGTAGAGAACGATTGATATTCGCGCCTTCGAGTAATCTCTTGCCTCGATTCTGAGTCACAGCAGCTCGTTCGCTTCCTGCAAGATCCACCAGCGATAATTTTCCAACTTTTACCTCAATATTATTGTCACCACTACCACTCTCTTCTTGTTCAATATGCACTTGAAGCACAGCATGGGATCGCGACGAGACGGCATTCGCAGCCGTACTCTCTTGTGATCGATATCTATTACCTCTGCGTAACAGCTTCATCACATCGCGTGCATTATTCGCTTCGACTTCCATTAATCCAGCAACAATAATCCCTTGTATTGGATCTTCACGTAAATCCAAGAATTCAGAACTTGGGATATTAGCTGCAGAAGAGCAAGAGGAACCTGCCGAAAGCAAATCGCGTATATTTTCATTGTAAATTTCAAGAAAAGAGACAGTGACACGGTACCGAATTCGTCCTGCTGAATGGTTTTGAACACGCTCGATACTTTGAAACAAATCTTGTAATGTTCTCGCCATAATACCAGGTTCATTCTGCGTCCCAAGCATCGTATATGTCTTTCCAGCTCCAGTACATCCATAAGCAAAAACAGTTGCATTAAATCCATTCAAGATCCCATGGATCAAGAACTTTGTAGTATGTTCATACACCTTTTGTTGACTATCATGCGGATCAAAGACGTAATCAAATGCATAGCGTTTCTCACGTCGAAACAGATCGTAGAATTGAGCAGAAGAAGCAGAAGCGTATCGTGGTTTAGCGTGTTGAATCGAATTACGACGTGCAGAAAATCTTGCACTTGTCTTCGAAACCACAACTTCTCTATTTTCAAAAACTTGGACAATCTCCGTACGATCTCGATCATGACTTAATACAGGACGTAAGCGTACAGTGACTAAAATATTAGCTTGACCCGCCCACATCTTTTGTCGATACGTATCGCTATCTGAAATTTCATTGCCCGAAGCAGTTTGATTATTTTGGGGTTTCATTGTTAGCGGAGGTAAAAAGCTTTTTCGCGAAATGGACCGTGTATTCGATGCTTTCTGCTCGCCTTTGAGCGGTAATTTACACCCTTCAATACGTGCTTGACATGTTGAAGGTCGCTGTGATACAGGTGATGCACAGTCACTCGTTGATTGGGAAGGATCCACGCGAGACATCGGATTTTTCAAAGATTTTGACTTCCGTGGCACTTACAAGCTCAATCTTCTTTAAATAAACTCTTTAGGTTAATTTTGGTAGCCCTGAACGACTAACGGATAACTAGATGCACATATTTTCTACAATTGTTATCCAAACATACATAACCTACTCGCATGAGGGGCTTCAAGTAAATCCTTGATTTTCAAACAACCTTTTTGAAAAGCAGCTCCCCCTATATCGTCGTACACTATAAAGACTGATAAGACTACCGAGCGTAAAGGCTCGAAAAGCAGTCCTTGTTTCGATTGTGACCAGGATCAATGAGATTATGATACACTTTTAAAAATAATTCTGATGACGATTTGAGATCCGAATATTTTCAATTGTTAAATAGAATTTGAGATGTTAAAAATGGGACGTATATATAGCAGCTACCTCGAGGACGAGATACCAGCGCTATCTTTTTCTGTCTACATTCATCAAACCTAGAATGTCTCTTCTAGTCCTAGAAGTTTTGTGAGTTCCTTGCGCATTTTTGATTCTATTAGCAAACTGGCGAGAGTTTTAGCTCGACAATGCAGTTTCTGGTGTTTGCAGCAACAATTTTGGGATTAAGAGTCACAATGACTAGCGCTATACCAGTGAATTTCATCAATCGTTGCAACGTTGCGATTGATTTATACAACAATACATACACGGAGGTGATTGTTCCAGGATGTAATACAACTCGACATCTAAACGAAGGCTTTAGTGGAATGTTTCGGAATGGGTGGAATCCTCAAGCAACACGTACGTTTTCCTTATATTTAACTTATAGGAGCAAACTAACATCGTGTCAATTATCATTAGTTGCTGAATTTTCTGTATCGTGGGGATTCCTATGGTACGACATCGGAATCATTCCTACTAGTCCTCGAAGTGGAGTAAGTTATTTAAGCCATATTTTGTTTTAAACACTCACTTATCTTTGTTTCTTAGCCAGGCAACTGCTTATCACTTGATGAATGCAAGAATATTACGGGCGGAGTTGGATTCAACACACCGATTCGGATTGCGCCAAACGGGTGTACAGTAGTCACGTGTTTGGCCGACGGTTGTTCAGATGCATATCAATTTCCCACAGATGATTGGAAGACACATGCGTGTCCCGACACAACATCAAATGTCGATGTCACTTTTTGTCCAGAAGGATCTCACGCTGTATCAGCGCTAACTCCAATTAAACCAAAGTGCCCAAGGCGCTGTACTGCTTCGTTGCGCAGTTAATTAGATTAGATAGATGACTCGATCGAATTTTTATAGACAACAAAAGATGAACAGCTCATGATATCGACCTTATCATTATTTTCAGAGATATCGCAAAATTCACGTAAGAGTGAATTTTAATACTGTAAAGTTTTTGTTTTATAAAGCAAATTGTAATTCCTCTCACGGAAAGGCAACCCATCATAAAGCTTAATTGTATTTGCTCTAATTCAATGTATGCCTGATTGGGTTGCGGAAAGGCAACTCAAGAATTCTTCACTCATTATCGACTCTTACTGCTACTGCTATGGTTCTCGCTCATCAAGACGCGTGGCGAAGCCACCCATTCATTTCTAACTGCGCTAAGAAGCCGCTTACAGGTTTTGGTCTGGCATCTGCAATTTTCAGTGTCTATCTCGTGGTAGACACGCTTAACTCGCGCTTTTCATCTGGAAGTAAAGATGGCGGTGCACATGCTGAATTGGATGAAGTTACGGGAAGTAAACGCAAGTAGCAAAATTACGAGATCAAGACGTAACGTCTTAAAGTTCCCAGTCTTTTGTGTATGTAACCAATGGATTTTATCCTTTTACAAAAACAAATAAAGAAAGACTAATGGTCAAGCTGCTTACTTAAAACACTACATTTGTTCATGACATGCTACGATTATAAAGTGATTCTTGTAAACAAGTAGGATAAGTGATAATATATAATCAGTTAAGCTACTGGCTGAAGTCGGAGAATACCATGTTACCGAAACCTTGTACCGACTTGCAGCGATTCGTCCTGCGGAAATTCTTCATCTTCGTCTTCACTTTCACCTGTTCCAGCACTACGACGTTTGCAACTGACAAAACTTCGATCTTTTTGCAATTCAAGTACCGACACACGCGTCATAAGCTGCGTAATGAGAAGCATTGTCTCTGCTTTTAATTCTTCTTGTTCAAGTAATTGCTGCTGCATTTGCATATTACTTTGAGCAAGTTGTTCAATTTGCTTTTGCTGGGAGGCTAATAAACAGCGCAATTCGTGAACAGGTGACGTCAATCCACTGCCGTGAGTAGCACACTCACCAGCTCCTCCAGTTGCTTCACCCGCTGCAATGACATTCGCTTTTCCAATAATTGCTCTTCGACTTAATGATGGTGAGAAGATCGGACTGCCCTCTGCACTTATCGGACTACGAGCACTACCAAAGACAGTACCGTGTCGACTAACTCCTGATGTGCTCGAAGATGCAAACGCAATACGGTCAGTCGTTGCAGATGCGTGATATGGTTGCTGAGAATCATTTCGATTGACTATAGAATCTCCACGTCCAATATCATCAAGTTCTAAATCTTGCTTTAGTGATCGACTGTGAATGATCATGGCGTAGCATGTGACACAAACACGTTGCGGCGTTGTAAAGCCTTTTGTCTCCATCGAAATCTTTTTATCTGCACTATGTTGACTGCAGATTGACTTGCCACAATTGCGACAGTGATGGCGATGTTTAAACATACCAAAACTAGCGCGACAAATTGAGCATTCGCCATCGTGTTTCCATTCGGGCGGTGGCTCAAACCTTCCACGGCCATGAGAATCATCGGAAGCTCGACGATGAGTTTTTCGACTCAATGGTGGAGAAATTCGCTGATGTCCATCTCGTGTTATTGCATGTCGAGATTGAGTTGATTCATGTCCGGACTGGATGTGTTGACTTTGCGGATTTACTGGAGCTACACCCGCTGGACTATTACAATCATGTAATGTTTCGTTTTCATCATCTACTCTATTGTAGAGAGGTAAACTGGAGTTTCGTCGAAGATTAACGTGACCAGACATCAATGGCAACGATTGGTGACGACTATGATGACGCCTTGCTACTTCCTCTTGCGTCATAGTTACTCCAGTATTACTACTCATTGCTGGGATCATTGCTCTTGTATCACGCTCATGTATCCTGCTACGATTTGGTGCTGGCGTCAGTAATGAGTTTGTGCGGTACAGCCGAGACTGTTGGCGAGTAGAATCTTGATTTTGTCTTAAAAAACCTGTTAGACCTGTACGACTACCTACATAAAATCCGTCTTCAAAAGAAGAACAGGAACTTCGAGGAGTCCGTGTTTCCCCTTGACTGCAAGAGCTTGTAGAGGAAGGAGACACGAGATAACCATGGGGTGAATCAAGTCCATCCATCGCACAAAGAGATTGTTCACTCATCATGCTAATGCTGTTTTCCGGATCCAATGCCGGATGTATCTCACCATCGTCCGTCACATGAAAAAAATTAGTATATCCGCCAGTGCCCACGTAAGGTTCAGATTCAATAATATTGTCCGACCAGTCATTAATCTTTTGATTACATTCTTCATCATCAAGTCGAGTTATCCCAGATGCTTCTCCTTCTTCCTGTGCACTAAGTCTTTGTTGCAAATCTGAATCAGCACTTTCGCCTTCGTTAGAAATATTATCCGGATGCTGATGAAGAATACTTCCATGTTTGTATGCTCGATATAACACCTTCATGCTTTCTGAATCGAGACCAATGTCAACTGCCATCTCGAGAGCTGTAATGCCATCAGGCGTTTGTTCGTGTATTGCTCCTGGATATGCGCGCAATAGTTTACGTAAACAAGATGCCTGTACGCGTGCTCGTATAGCAATGTGTAGTGGTAGTAGCTTGCCACTGTTCTTAGCTCGAACACCATCTGGATAAGCTTGAAGAAGTTTGGCGATAAGAGAAAGAGGCACACGACGTACAGTGCAGACCCAATGGAGTGGTAACATATCATGGTCATCAGGTTTTTGAGCCATAAGTGGATCTCGTTCCAATAACCAGTGTAACCCTTTCCAGTCCGATGCTTGAGCTAAGCGAATGGCCTCTGTGCTACCTTTGACGTTTGAATCCATTGTTGAAAGCTTAATGAAAATATGCAACTAAAAAATGTTACGAACTTTGACGTGAATAATTTGGTTTGATTGTCGTGCGATAGAGAGTAAAGTGTGGTATGCAGCAGAACGCGCGAGGAACAATGGTCGACTCGCGACGACTCCCTACAGCTTCTAGTTTCTTCGGTTTTTAAGTGGACTCATATTTGAGTAGAAAACGTAGTTCGAGGACTTGAGTTGGGTATAAAAGTAGGAAAAGATTTATTTTTATTGTTAAAAAGAAAAGTTCAACATGAAGGTTTAGTGCTCTCTTCTCTATAACACGTTCAGTACGTCGGTTTGGTCCTTATCTTCATGCCTGTCGTATGTGTTCACCATGCGGCACGGCAGTACAACGTTGAAACGTCTATTAGTAAAGAAATAACGATGGATTCATTGCACACACTTTTTTATAACGAATCTTTCTTGTATTTATGGATAAATGTATTGTCAGCCGCTTCAGTTTGTAGTCAAATCTTAAGAAATGTGAATGTATACTACCAAGTAGAAGACGATGTTTTTGTACACAAGCTTGTTTGTATTATATACTTTAAGCAAATCGTCTTTCCTTACTTTTCCACGGAGACATGTACTTGAAGTATTTATCCAGCAGTTTTTACTGAAAAGTACTAATCGTGGGTCAGTTTCAAGACCCTGTCACACGATAATATATCATGTACCGGCCAGGACGGACGTATATTTTTTGATAGAAATTTGCTTTTTTCGTACCTTATCAAGAACCAACATACAAACAACATGCATCATATTCGGGTCAAAATTTGTATCATTTTTAAATCAGGTAGATGGACGGTTCATGTGAACGACCAAATTATTTAATGCTTTAGTGAATTTAAAGGTAACACATTTTTACTTAATAGTCTCTAATACATGTGACCTTTTACCACTAAAAGTCTTGACCATTCGCCACTTGATCGAAGCTAAATAAGGGTCTTTAATGGCACTGGAGCGCTTTATTTATTTTCTGCCATTGTAGTTAAGTTGACGAGCTCATTCTTGAGTCTTTGAAAGGTTAGTCTTCTCTCGAGCACAACATGGATATCTAAAGTTGGCCAATCAATTCTCCGTGTGCTCACTTTAACTAGTCAGTGCAGTAATTAGTTTTTAAGTTTTAAAAATTCGCGGCATAGATGTGTTAAAAGTAATCACCACAGATAACAATGCAAAATCTTCTTCCTTGCTAGATAAAATGAACACTGTGTCAATGACAACCATTTCCACAAGCAATTTAATGCGAACAACATGCTTTCGTGTGGATAGCTACTACCTGTCTGTTTATCAATATATCAGTTGACTTGTTGCAGTCGCTAAGCATAAAGTGCGTCACTAAAATGTTATCGGAAACCAAAACTCATCGGTTGAATTACAAGTTTGCTAACTGCTAATTATTGTATGTGTGAGTTATCAGCAGGACTGAACTTCATATATACATACTTGGAGCGAGTAATATTATTTCTAGGAGAAAATGCGGGGTATCATAATATAAATGTTATACGTGCAGTTAAAGTTTTTGTCGGAAATTATAAATTCGAAGCAATGTGTAATAGGGACCCGATGACAATGTTGTTTTACGAGACAAAGGGATATGATCTTTCATATCGTGGCATACAAAGAGTCGTGGCCGAAATGAGCTTCGGACCAGTGACGCGAAGAAGGTAAACAATAGATCAATGTGTTAGTGTCAAGCAACAGTTTTTTAGAAGGTTATTATGTCGGTTTTGGAATCAAACGAGAAGGCGGTGGTAAAGGATATGCAATTTATTTCATCTTTGCATATCCACCAGGAGGTGACACATCTAAATTTTGATATGGTCTCAAGGTGGCTAAGAACACGACTGAAGGATAACAATCACAGATTAATCGAGCTGGTAAAACCTGTAATTATTGTTATACATGGCATCTGCTGTATACTTCGGCCCATTTTATGATAGACCAATATTCTTTACTAACGAAGACAAATGTATTAAATTTTTGATTGAAGAAAAGCCCATTACATGGAATGGAGTGTAGTAGAAAAACAAAGTACTGTTTGAAGCGCTATAGATTTCGAAAAAAATGTTCCGAGAAAGTTTCTCTTCATTTTTTTAATGACATTGTCTTCCCATAACAAGTTTGGTTAGATGATGATGCAAGCAAATCTATTCAAGGTACAACAAAGTATTTGAAGCACGCTGAAGCTGATTCTTCAAAGTGATTTCATCAGCTCATCATTGACTCTTATAATGAAGAAACAGCAACAATTAGTGGACCTGGTGTAGTCGTAAAGATCGACGAAACAAAAAACGGAAGATTTTATCATGGGCATCGTGTAGAAGGTGTGTGAATTCTTAATGGTGTAGAGCGTACAGAAGATTGTGATATTTTGCTATTTCTATTTCTATATGGCTCATAGTGTTCCTACCATGCCATACCAAGGATGAGGTCATACCATAAATCCAGTCTAAGACTAAGCAGCGTTCCACGCTACCAAAGTCATTAAATTTGACGCCGAGGCCCACAGGGGCCCCCGGCACAATGACGATGTCACTCAGCCGCGCTTTAAGCGTCTCAGTATACAGCTGACTTCTATCCATCGTAGAGCGTCAAGCATAACTGTCCGACGCCCCAGAGTCGATCAAGGCTTCTTAAAGCCCTTCACGGTCGCTTTCACGACCAGTGAGTTCGGCTTGCATACACATTCCATATTTAAGAGCACAGAGCTCTTTGGGGGTGGGCCCTGCTGCCTCTAATTATTTAAGGCTTAAATACACACAGTTCTTCCCCAGCAGGGCGCCCTGCGCCTGCTGGGTGTCATCGTTAACCCACGACAAACTAAAAGACTGGTGAGAATCGGGACGTCGGCTCGATGAACCTTGACGCGCCCTTTTCAAGGGACAACCATCCCGAAGGTGACGGGTGTATCCACAGCCAAAACACCGTCGGGTGTTTGAACGCTGCCCGGCAGCTCGGAGCTCTTTCTCCTCTTCCTCAGCCCAGCTAAAATTCATTGGTTCAAGCCGGCTCGAAGTGCTGCTAGAGTGTGCATTCTAACCAAGTCGTGCAGGCTTAAAGTTGAATTCGACATTTAATGCCACAATCACTGTTTGTTTGAAAGATGACGGATGCACACGAAAGACTTTAATTCTGACCGCGTCAGTGCGGAGGCATTCAATAAAGACGATCACTGTGACCGCCTCGGAAAGAGAATCGGACTGCCATACCGGCAATAAGAGTACGCAATTCCTGGACAAAGTCCACCAAATCCTACTTGCCCTGTCGGGCGGCAAGGAAACGCTATCGCACGCAATATGCCTGGTTAGGTTGCGAGAACACTCGCAATATCTGACGCTTCAGCTCCTTCTAGATGGGGATCGCCGCTTCAACCAAAGCACCGCACGTTACTGCCCACTCGCGCTCGGTCCCCCAAACTTAGTGATAGCTAGCGCCACGCGCTGTTGCTCGGTCTGGAGCATGGCGGACGCCATAGCCAACTCGGCCTCTCCTACCCAGAACATGAGTTGTTCTTCATCCTTGCCCTCGAAGGTCTAAACGCACCATATGAGCGGCTTGGGTCGGGAGGAGTTATTCGTCGTCGACGGTGGCATCATAGACGCAGTCGAAGCTGACATTCTATGTTCTAGGTGCTCTGGAAAAGCATATTCAGAGCTTGAAAATGCCTCTAGGCGCGCGCTGATCGCTTCAGGTCCTTGCGAAGCGAGGTGTTGCACGCTCTCCGAGCCAAGCAGAGACATCAGCGTCTTAAGTCCGTCCTGTATACCCTAGGGCAAATCGAAGAGATCCATCATCCTCACAGAGGATCAGTCGTAACGACCCAGGTGTAGATTGACTACAAGTACTACCAAGTGCAGCGGAGTTACCGTAGCTCTTTCGCTTAGAGGAAGCTTCGTCAAGATTGGTGACCTTCTTTCTATACTTTGAACCAGTACGAGTGTAGCGGATCGCAATTCGCTTACTCCAAGAGTGACCACACCCTCAACCCAAGGCAAATACACTCTAACGTTTAAAATGTAGACCGTTTTTTTATAAAATTTGCGGCAAAGCCGCCTATAATTTGATCTATACGTTTTCCTAATTAGATAGTAAACCCTAATAAATTGCATAACTACTGACAGTCCAGCCACGTACTGATTTCTTGTTAAGGTGTAGTCACACCACTATGTAATTACACCGTCTTGTGTAACCCGCTCCCTTGTATGGTCACAATATCTTGTGTGACCCACCCCTGCATACCAGGGTGCGTGTATCCCCGTTACACGAGGCGTGAAGCATGTCGATCTGTTGTATGCGCTGCTCGTCGTCTTGACGATCGAGCCTCTTGGTAGTTTGCTGAGCTCTCACGATATGTACGGTGTTTGTCTGTACGCAGACCACGCAGCCACGAGCACTTTCTTTGCAGATGAATCAACTCTGCTTGCGAGCCTGGTCGCGAACCTGTCGGCGTGGAAGACTAATGCAGAGGCTCCGGTGCAAAGGTTGACCTGTCCAATTCGTTACTCTTGGCGCTTAATCAAAAAATAAGACTGCCCCATGCTTCGTGGCGTTCAAGTGTTCGACCGCACAGAGACAGCTAAATATATCGGTATCCCGTTCGTACAAGCTTCGGTCGACGACACGATCATCGAGATTTCAACACTCCTACGACGGCTTCAAGGCGTGGTATCGGCGCGCACGTACGCTTCGTGGTCGATTTCTGGTGAAGGTACCCTCCCGTCTACGTCACTACACCCACCATGCATCGCTACCAGCACCGGTCGTAAAGCGGTTGCAGTCGATGCTGAATGAGGTCGTGCTGAGTCCCAAGCACGACGACAACGAGCGGCATGTATAGCTTATCCCGAATGAGTTCGTGCATCGGCAGCGTAGTGATGGTGGACTTGGTGTCCCAAGTCTGGACGCGCACATCAAACGGCAGCGTCTTGCACTGCTACTGTAGCTCAAGCGTGCGGCGAGTGACGAAAGCATGC